CCCCATCCATGCCTGCAGCCCCTTCTGCTCCTCAGGGGCAAGCCCAGCCTGGTTCCCCATCCCCTTCTCCACCCCCATCTACATCCTCATGCCCATTTCCATCTCCATCCCAGAGGTACCCAGCTCCCTCCTTGCTCTCCCAGCCTGGGGATGAATTTACCCCGTTGGACTTTTTTTTTCTTGCCTTTCTGGGCTCGCCCCCCCTTTTCTCCAGGGCAGCCCCGGATGTCGAGGGCTCTGGCAGAGGCGAGATAAATTTTAAAGCCCCCAGAGCAAGCGAGCGCCCGCGGTCGCTGAGGCCGAGCGTGCAGGGAGCCTCGCCGCTTCCTCCCGTCTGTGTGTGGTGAGGGCAGCATCAGCCTGGGGGGGCTTTGCACAGGCACCCACCTCAACAAGCGTCAGCTCGGCTTAACCCACCCGTCCTACAGCTCCCAGTAGGGCTTTGACTCCATGCAACTGGTCCAGCACCGAGCCACAGTGGGAGAGCCAACAGCTCCGTGGCCAGGAGACCCCAGACAGCTCCAGCTCAAACCTTGCAGGTGCCCAATGTTGCAAAAAGGTGCCTTAATGCTGTGTTCTGGGCTCCCAGAGCTGCCCCAGTGAGGACCTGCCCCAGAGGGAGGATGCTGGGGCAATGGAGATGAAGAATTGGGGGAGAAGTGGTGCAAAAATGCACCCCATAGCGTGTGGGTGATCGTAACCCGCTGCTGCAGCCAGTGGAGCTGGGCTGGCGCAGCGTGGGTTAACCACACCAACCCCCGCTTTTGCAGCTGGGCTGCACCCCTGGGTGCTGCAGGCTCTGTCGCTCTGGCTTTGAGCGAGCAGCACCCCATCTTGTGCGCTCCCTGAACAGCAAATGCCCCCCCAGCCCCGCACCATGGGTGATGGGATTGGGAGACTCATCTTGGGGTGGTGGGAGAGGGAACGTGGGGTCCCAGTGGAGGTGATGCTCCAGGCATGGAGCTGCCCCCCAAAGCCGGGCACTTCTCCGCTCCCCTCGCACAGAAATCCCTGGTTTTGGGAAGAAGACCCTCAGCCTCTCCGGCTCCCTTGAAATCGCGGCGGCGGGGCGGAGCTCAGCCGCGTTTCTGGGTGCAAG